GCCTATAATCCCAGCACTTTGGGAGGCCGAGATGGGTGGATCACCTGAGGTCAGGAGTTCGAGACCAGGCTTGGCCAACATGGTGAAACTCCATCTCTACTAAAAATATAAAAATTAGCCGGGTACGGTGGCACATGCCTGTAACCCCAGCTACTTGGGAGGCTGAGGCAGGAAAATTGTTTGAAACCAGGAGGCGGAGGTTGCAGTGAGCCAAGATGGTGCCATTGCGTTCCAGCCTGGATGACAGAGCAAGACTTTGTCTCGAAAAGAAAAAAGAAATGCCATAGGCTTCTCCACAGCCTGTCTCTGAATACTGGGAGGGAGGGCGAATGTTTTCCTGCCCATGTGCAAATACTGGTGCTGAATGGGAAGCTGCTAAAGGGATCTCCACCACTGATTTAGATGATTCCAAGGAAATCATCTCACACCAGCAAGTAGCTGGTGTTAAATGAGTTTATAGGGTTTCATCCTGATGGGGAGGAGAAAAGATCCCCCCCATAGGCAGAGAAGACACTTGAAGCTAGTCTGTGGTGTGGAAACCTGGAGTACTGAGTGCTGACACTGATAGGGCTGTGAGTTTGAATTCCAGCGCCACCTCTTATCAGGCTGCCCGTCCCACACCCTGGCATTAGTCAGGGGATGGATGCGACACAGTGAACTCCAAAGATGTTCATCTCCTTCTCTTTTCATCCTTTGGGTACAATTCGATTATCTCTTCAGATTCCTTTCAGCTCTAATTTAAACACTATATATACACAGATATCTGTGTTGGGTCTTACTCTGTCACTCAGGCTTGAGTGCAGTGGTGTGATCTCGGCTCACTGCAATCTCTGCCTCCCTGGTTCAAAGGACTCTCCTGCCTCAGCCTCCTAAGTGGCTAGGACTATGGGCACGCACCACCACACCTGGCTAATTTTATATTTTTGGTAGAGACAGGATTTTACCATGTTGGCCAGGCTGGTCTTGAATTGCTGACCTCAAGTGATCCACCTGCCTTGGCCTCCCAAAGTGCTGGGATTATAGATGTGAGCCACCATGCCTGGCCTATTTTTAATATACACAGGGTCTCTTTGTCACCCAGGCTGGAGTGCATTAGTGTGATCATAGCTCATTGCAGTTTTGATCTCTTAGGCTCAAGCAATTCTCCCACATCAACCTCCTCGGTAGCTGGGAGTATCTGACTACAGGTGTATGCCACCATGCTTAGCTATATATATATATTTTTTTAATTTGTAGAGATGGGGTCTTGCTGTATTGTCCAGGCTGATCTCAGACTCATGAGCTCAAATGATCCTTCTGCCTCAGCCTCTTAAATTGTTGAGATTACAGGTGTGAGCCTCCATCTCTGGCTCAGATACTTTATAAGCCAAGAAAATTTACAGGTACTAGAAATCCCGTTATGAGTGCCATCACTCAGACTTAATGGTGAAGGCTCAGGAGGTATTCTGGCAGAGAGCTGTTAGATGTTCTTCAACCCCTGAGCTACTCTGAGGGCTTGTAGTTCCAATGCTGCCATGTAGATTTTCGATGATTAGATTCTACGACCAGCCTTATGGGTGTCATATTTGCAGAACTGATGTACTGTTGGAACAGATGGGCCTTGCCAAGATCATCTCACACATCTCGATTTATGGAAAGGATTTTGCCAGATGGACTTGGATGAGAAATTCAGATTAGAAACCACCTTTCTAACACTCGCTAGAGTATTTGAGTAAAATGTCCTGCCATTTGAACTCAGAAATGCACCTATCTGTTTCCAGTGACTGGTTTAATGGTCTGCTAAGAGGGCCAGAGCCATTGCCTTGGCGTTTACCCACAGGCGGCATGGCTATATTTAGCCAGGACACAGGTGAACATCTAAGACAGGTCCCGCTGCTGTTGAATACAGTCCTCAAAGCTGAGTGTAGCAGACAGTTTACTCATTGTCACGTTAGGCTTTCATTGCTCCAGTGTTCATGTCACAAGGTGGGCTTGTGGGATAAAATAGGAGTGATCAGAGTCTGGAAGGCTGCTGCCGTGAAGAAGAAAGTCAGATCATTTTGAACCGGTTGGATACATGATAGGTTTTGTCATCTCTCATTTTAGGATTGTGACTGGGTTTCTTACTGTCTCTGATGCAGGCAAGCAAAACCTGATCCAAGCACCCAAGGGCTCAAGGAGCTTTTAAAATGAGGAAGCCGTTTCTGATTCCATTCTCGGCTTTACCAGCCCCAGACTTTTCATAGGCATCTGCCCTGGCAGGTCCTGCTTTGGGCAGGGCTCTGAGGCTGAGCAGGAAGCCCAGCCTGCAATGGCTCGGGGCGGAAGCGGGGGGTCCCTTTTTTGCAGTGTGGCCTGAGGGTAAAGCAGTCAGTCACCTCTTACCAGCATCTGGCTGTGGTCTCCCTGTGAGTGCACACCAGCCATAGATGTTTGGCGGTTTCACCTCTTGGACTAGCCTGCAAAACCTGAAATTGCTTGAGATTTTGCAGAGCCCAAACAGCAATTTTGAGAAGGGGTTGTGGCTGTTTCAAGATCTCCAAGATTATCAGAGCCTCTTCCTGGGGAGGAAAGGACGTGGAAAACTCACTACAAAATATTTAACGGGCACACTGGAAGCATATATGAAAACTGATGCTCTGAGATTCTGTTTAATGAGTCTCAGGTGGGACCTGGGTTTTGACTTTTTCAAAGTTCCTCAAGTATTGGTGATACGAATACACAGCCAGGGTTGAAAACCACAGCCAAGGAGACCACACAAGTTGGACTTGGCTCAAAATGAGACTTTGACAGTAGAGGGAAAGGAAAGGGAGGCCTAAACTTGTTCTACTCAAATAATGGTAAGGAGACTTGACAAAAGAAAGAAATGGAACAAGCTCCTTTAAGCGTCAAGCCTCTCATGGGCTAAGTAGACTAGGGGATGAGTGGTGAATTCTTTTGGAAGTGAGAACAGGTTTAGTCATAGCCATTAGCATGATACTTGGTAGGAAAGTAAATATTGGGCTTAAATCAAGTTTGTGTCAGTGCCCTCCAGGGGCCAGAATTGGGGGTTTTCAGCTTGTTTGAGGGCACTGGTGGCATCTCATTCTAATGAGGCGAACTCATAAAACAAGAAGTGAATATGGACATGACAACCCAGCTCACCCCCTAAAAACAATATTCTCATTAAAATAAAAAATTATGCGGCAAGGTAAAAAGAAAGCAAATGACATTCACAGCCCCACCATCCAAAAATAACCTCTGCAGTTCCTTCTGGACATATCTGGATAGAAAATACTAATTTTATATAAATGGGATGCCACCTGATTTTTTTTTCTCATGTAACACTGTGCTGCAGTTCTCTTGCCACATCTGTAAATATAGGCCTACGTCAGTTTTAAGTAGTATTTCATTATATGGATGGGCCGTTTTCTAACCTGTCTTTGTTGATAGACATTTAGGTCCTTTCTAATTCAAAGCTATTAACAGTGAGATAAAGCATCCGGTACGTGTGCTTCTGAGATACGCATCCTGCTGTGGTGACATTACATGGCTGCCTGGCCAGGAGCGGAGATGACAAAAGCCCCCATCCCACAATCTCCCATTGCACTGCCCCCAGCTTATTGTATTATAAATCATCTGCTATTTGCTTTTGTGTGTCCTTATCGCCCTCCTCCCACACAGTCATAATGGCCTCTTTGGTTAGGTGTGGAGTACACTGTACCAGTAGAGTCCTGTCCTTCCTCGTTGTTAGGCTGCGCAGAGCGTGAGTGTGTCTGGAAGCCCATTGGTAGTCAGCAGAATGGCCTCTGCCTCTGAATAACTCCTGAGAAGCCCACTCTGCCTGTGTCACCCCCAGCTGTCTTTTTAACAGGGAAGTTCCAGCATGTACTGAGTCCACATAAAGTAATGGGAACAGTCCCTACCTGCCTCACTTTAAAAAAAAGTATTTATTTAACATTTATTTATTTATCAAGAATCTTGGCCAGGTGCAGCGATGGGGGGATCACCTGAGGTCGGGAGTTCAAGACCAGCCTGGGCAACATGGTGAAATCCCATCTCTACTAAAAATACAAAATTAGCCAGGCATGGTGGCATACGCCTATAGTCCTGGCTACTCAGGAGGCTGAGGCAGAAGAATCTCTTGAACCTGGAAGGTGGAGGTTATAGTGAGCTAAAATCATGCCACTGCATTCCAGCCTGGTAGACAGAGGGAGACTCCATCTCCATACTTTGTGCCCGGCACAGGAAACAATTAAGTACACAATTCCTGGCCTCCAGGAGCTGACGTCTGCACAGAGGGGCTCAGTATATGTTCCTAAATGTAGTTCTCCATGGAAGTGAAGTGACTGAGGCTCCTCAGGAGTACGGTATCAATGACTTTGACTCATAGAGAAACTTATATGAGGCAGATGGTTTTGTAATCTCCTTGGATAAGACTGAAGCAGTTCTTTTGGTCAAAGCTAGAGGACGTTAAAATGCCCTCACTGGCCAGAGCAAAATGATCTTAGGCAAATCCTTGCCTGCCTTTGCATTTGCAGTGTGGCTCATTTTCCTGGCAAAAGAATAAAGGGGTTGTGAATTTTGGTTCTGTATTTTAAAGAGTTTAGGGCGACAACTACAAAACCATTGTATGATGAGAGATTATTGGCAATGTAGCTTGTACTTTGTGCTAGATTAGTGCAGACCTGGAATGCTTGGAGAAGATCGGCTGTAACTTGAGAAACTCAGAAGGAAAAGGCAGTTGTTGGTTCTGCTGATCAGTTTGTTAAGGGGTTTTATGTTCTTTCAGGTGCCACTTTGTAAAACTTCCAGAAACAAGGCATTCCCCTCCCCAGAAAAATGCACATATATGCATAAACGTCGAATTTTTTATACCATCCCAAGCACTTTGCAGTTTCCCAGCCTAAGATAACCCATGAACTGATCCAAACCCTGGTTTCTATGGGTAGAATTACTAAGGTTTTAGAGGGTAACTGTGAGGGCTGAATAAACTTGCTGATAAACTATTCCTAAAGAAACTTTTTCTTTCTTTCTTTCAGCACTGGCTGGATCATTCCAAACCCATAAAAAAGCAGATGAAAAGTAAGTAAGCAGAATTTAGCCCACAAGTTTATTTCTTTTTTCTGAGAGTAAACTCCTTTGCCAGTGTTTTGAGGTGTTATGTTTTCATTAGAACTTGGAAGCATTTTAAAATCAATTCAGTATTAAGTGGAAGATTTTTAATTTCTTAAGGCTAGCCAAAGATGAGAGTTTAAAATCTGAATAAAAGTGTTTAGTGGGTACAGAAAAACCAACTGGGCTCTCATTTGAAATCAGACGCCTCTGCCAATGAGAACTGATTAATCTGCTATTCAGAAAGTCAACTTTACACCTATTATATCTACTTTCTAATGAGTTACAACATAGACTCAAGATGAGAGAGTAGGAGGGATCTTTGATAGTCTGCTACAGCTTTTTCAGTGTGCAGGTGTGGTGACCACATTTCTTTAACGTTGTTTATGCTTGGGTAATTTTTTAAAATTCATATTCTCTTAAAAGTACTTTAAAGTATTTTTAGATAACAGAACACTTACATCATTTTCCTTTAGGCTTTGTACTTTGGTTTTTTTTTTTTTTTTTTTGAGACAGAGTTTTGCTCTTGTTGCCTAGGCTGGAGTGCAATGGCGTGATCTTGGCTCACTACAACCTCCGCCTCCTGGGTTCAGGCAATTCTCCTGCCTCAGCCTCCTGAGTAGCTGGGATTACAGGCACATGCCACCATGCCCAGCTAATTTTTTGTATTTTTAGTAGAGACGGGGTTTCACCATGTTGACCAGGGTGGTCTTGATCTCTTGACCTCGTGATCCACCCACCTCAGCCTCCCAAAGTGCTAGGATTACAGGCGTGAGCCACCGTGCCCGGCCAGGCTTTGTACTTTGTAAAAACTTGCTATCAGTTTGGAGTATTGTGGCATCAGGGGTGAAAGTAAAATGTCAGCTTTTAGTAATCCATTTAGATCACTAGGGTTTTCTTCCAGAATGAGGTTACTAGCTAAACTATCTTAGTCAATACAGAAGTCCATATGTCTCAGTTTCCCTGATGAGGACTGAAAAGAATTTACTAGCGTCACATGCCCAGTCTGTCCTGATGTTATGCCAAATGTTGTGGATTTAACATGCTTTTCCTTTTGTCCATTCTGTAATCTCCAAAACTGGGGGAAAAACATCTTCAACCTTCTGTCTCCAAATGTTTAGTTGGACCTGCTTATGCTTTGCACTTTCGAGTTAAATACTATTCTTCAGAACCAAACAACCTTCGTGAGGAGTTTACAAGGTAAGCCATGATGCAAAACAAGCTCCCGTCCAGTACCACCTGCCTCACATGTCATTTATGGCTCTTCCCAGTTGTGGGTCTGCCTCCCCTTCTGTCTGCTGTCTTTCTGTTTCTGAGCAAGAGTTATTAGTACTTTTCCTTTGCTTCTGTATTCCGTTAAAAATCCACAGCTTTGCTTAATTTGACATTTTTCTGAGTGGATAGAAATTAGTAGATACATTTTCTTGTCACACTTCTATTTTCTTGGACCCTGGGTAAATTGATTGGTTGTTCTGTCGTGTTTTGTTTTTATCTCAGCTACAAAAAGGGAAGGCAAATATTGGACAAGCCTTTGTCAGTCCTAAATCGCCATCTTATTTTTTAAGGGATTGCAAAGTATTCTCTATTGTTATAATGTAAGGAACCCTCTTTTAAAAAAAAAACTAAAGTAATTACAGCAAGGTTGTTAAAATCCCTTCATGTTATCTTTTAGCTCCCCTGAATTTCTTTTTCTTTTTCTTTTCTTTGGAGACAAAGTCTCGCTCTGTCACCCAGGTTGGAATGCAGTGACGTGATCTTGGCTCACTGCAGCCTCCACCTCCTGGATTCAAGCGGTTCTCCTGCCTCAGCCTCCTGACTACCTGGGATTACAGGCGCACACCATCATGCTCTGCTAATTTTAGTATTTTTGGTTAGAGACAGGGTTTTGCCATGTTAGCCAGGCTGGTCTTGGACTCCTGGCCTCAAGTTATCTGCCTGCCTTTGCCTCCTAAATTGCTGGGATTACAGGCGTGAGCCACTGCACCTGGCCTGAATTTCTTTTATGTTGTGTTTGCCTGTGTCTATGTCTTGGACTTCAGAAAGAGGGAACAAGAAAAAGAAAATTTGAGTAACCTTTTAAATGTGTAGTTTCCCTCCAGCCTCTCTTCCATCAGTGAAATTCTCTACAAAGCCTTTTCCTGCTTTTAATGTCCCCAGAGCCTCCTTGTCGTTGTTTGTGTGATGGACTGCAGTGGTGACAAGTAGGCTGCTGGGTGGTTCATGGTGGTGGTCACTAGGTTGGAGATGACCCCTAAGTAATGTCTTCAAGACTGACTGGCTATCACCATTCCTCCATAGGAAGGGACTGCTGGGCTTCCGCTGGGCTTTTTTTTTTTTTCTTTTGGAGACAAGGTATCACTCTGTCACCCAGGCTGGAGTGCAGTGGTGTGATCATGGCTCACTGCAGCCTCAAACTCCCAAGCTCAAGTGATCCTCCCACCTCAGCCTCCCTAGTAGCTGGGACCACAGGTGTATGCCACCAAGCCTGGCTAATTTTTGTTTTGTTTTGTTTTGTTTTAGAGACAGGGTTTTGTTACCCAGGCTCCTGCTGGGCTTCTATGGTTAGGTTTTCCTGTAGGAATCAAGAATTCTGGCCATAGACTTGTCTCCTGTCTATGAGTACACAAGATGGTATCCTGACATTCAGAAGTGAAGTGCAGTGGTGGCCAAGCCCTTATCAGAAAGCAGGAACATTCTGGAATGTACTAGAACCTTCAACACCCTCGACCTTGATTTCTGGCAAACGATCATTCTAGTGTTGCTCCTCAGAGTCCTCTATGAATGCTGCTTCTAGCTGTCATCAAAGCCAGTGGTTTTTAACCTGGGTTGTGTGAATCAGAAACACCTGGGAAGCTATTGAACAGCTCAGACTCCTGGGGGCCACTCTTGTGTGTAGGACTCTGTTTCCGTAGGTAGGGAGCAGAGTACAGGCAGTTTTGGTTTTTACAAAGCATTGTGAGTAGTTCTGTTGCCTACGTCTTCCTGGTAAAAAAACAAAACAAACAAAAAATACCCCTCTTATTTAAGCAAGACGTTTGTTTTTTACCTAAGTAAACCCCACGCGTGTTATTTGCTGACTTCTTTCTCTTTTTGTTTTTTAACCATTTGCAGTCCAGTACTGGGATTTTTTTTGTTGTTTTGTGTTTATGTGTGTATGTGTGTACCTGTTTTGTGTTTTAAAAGACAGAGTCTGCACTTACACTGGATGAGGGGGCAGGGAAGCCCCAGGCAGTTTTTGACTAGAATCAGCTGCAAACTCTTTGTTAACAATCCACTGCAGCATATCTGAAATCTGCTGGTGGAGCTGGCCGAGAGCCAGACCCCGCGGGCCCCACCCTGCCTGGGTTAGTGGACATATTGCATGCCCGTGTGCCGGGTTCAGCTCTCCTCCAGCACCGAGGAGGTTGTGGAGGCCATCATTGGACCCTCCCCTGTCTCATGCTCCATCCTGCAAGTATCTTGCAAGTTCCCCACATGCACTCGCCTTCCTTGCTAGGTTCTGGGATGCCTTCCTGGAGACTCAAGAGGAGGTGCTTCCACCGAAGTTCTCATTTGATTTGGACTCCTTTTTTACAATGCAAAATTCCATGCTGTGTGTGGGGTGGGGTTTGCAATGGGAAGCTGGGGATTGGGAGTGGCTGGGAGAGTTATCGTCTGTTGACTTTTGTATATGTTTGTCAGGTACCTGTTTGTTTTACAACTCAGGCATGACATTCTTTCTGGAAAGTAAGTATGTTTTTGTTCTAACTCTTAACCCAGGATAGATCATAGTGTATTTCAAAATAATTCACTGTTTTAACTCTTTTACCCTTGTTCCCTTTTCAAAATTCAAAAAAAGTGCACCAGGCATTGTAAAGTGAGTCTAATACTTGTATCGCTGTCATTATCATCCTATTTTAAATGATTACTATATGGCTTGAAGCATTTCCAAGACCATTTAATATCTTAAGTGATGTGTATTTGGGAATAACTCTCTCCCTGATCACATCACTGTCCCATTCATAATGGCTTTTGTCGTATTTGCAAGCAAGATACGTTATTAGTATGTATACACTTACAAGTATTTGGACAGTCAAAAAGTGTCATTCATCACCATCTGCATATAAGTAATGGAAAGAGGTTCTGTTCTGATTCCAATAGAAAGTTTTAGACATCTCATCTCACTTCCTTTTCTTCTCTTCAAAATGGTTTTTAAATACTAGGCCTCTGGCTGCACACAATGATCCTTGAGCACTGAAGTGGTTGACTTCACAAGCAGTATTAATTTACCGTAAAGATGGGGGGTTTCAATAGTCATAGCTTTTATAACTGTGTCATTTTTCAACATATGTATTGAATATTTTCTATTACATGAAAAACTAAGGCTGTACTGAGTCTGAAAAGTAACCCCTGACATTGACAAGCATACATTCTGATTCTGAATATAATCTGAAGGAAATTTTAAAATGTAATTTCCGAATTTGCAAACTCTCTATAGAATATGTGCTATAAAAACCTCAGTGAAATAAATGTACTCCATAGACCACTAGAACATGTAGATTGTACAGTGTATACATTTGCCTTATTCAGCCATGCAATACAGATCTTTGGTTGGTGTGTGTATTATGAGTGTGTGTACTTTTTTTTATCCTTCCTCTCTCTCTCTCTTTCTCTGTCCCCCTCTCCATACTGTGCTCCTCATATTAAAGGCCGTGTAACTCTAGAAATTGTCCTCCGTGTGGAAAAATATTAATGGCAACACCTAGCATTGGTACAGTACTTTGTAGTTTACATGTAGTTTAGCCTGCTTTGTACTTCAAAGCAGAATGGTGTTCTAGTCCTGGCATTGCTCCTTTCCAGCTGGATGACCTTGGACAAGACCCCTTAACACTGAGTTCTTCATCTATAAAATGGGAGATGGGTCTGGGGGGATAGACACCCATCCTAAAGGTTTATGAACTTGATGCATTGACCAAATTGGATAATATAAATGAAAAGGCTTTGAAAACTGTGAAGGGCTATACCAATGTATGTCATTATTATTTTTCTAACCAAATTTGAAATATTACGTATGAATGAGATCACTAAATTTGCATAGTACCCTTCTATGGCTATGCCTGAGGTAGACTTAGAATGCTGAGTGTATCCTGCCGTCCTGGCAGTATTCCATATGGTGTCTGTGTGTTTATCTTTAACACTGTGACCTTGTTTCAAGAAATATTTGATTTGAAGGCAGCTTTAAAAGATGCATGTACTCTATCAAGATAAAATAAATTTAAAATATGTTTAAAAATAATAAGGCAAAGGGAATACTTTTCCATTTTCCAAACTTCCATTCTTGCCAAATTCAGTAAAATTGTACACGATTGATAGAAACTACACCTAGGGGGTTCTTTTGCCCCGTGATGAGAATTGACTTTGGGAAATTTGTAGTGCAAGTCAGCTTGTTGCATTCTTTAATGTAGACAGCAAAAATATAAACGACTAAGAATCCAAGTCATTACCTAAATATTGCTATCTTTCGAAAAGTGATTTTAATGATATTTTGTGTGGTTATGAGTACTTAAGTTCCTACTTAGAATTAATTTCATTTTATTTTTTTCAAGATTGAAATGCCCTTATGAAACAGCTGTGGAGTTAGCTGCTCTCTGTCTACAAGGTACATTAATCTTTAGTAGTAATTAGCTTTTTAATGTTACTGCTTTTTATTTCAACAAATGAGTGTCCACTCTATACCAGGCCCAGTGCTTAGCTTTGGGGATATAAATGATTATGATGTGGTCTCTGTCCCCAAGTAGCTTGCAGTCCAGTGAGGAAGGCAAGAAGTAGCAAGGAGTGCAGTGCAGTTCCTTCAGGAACAGAGACGTAAAGTAGGATTGGACAGGAAATGCCCATTGTGGGGATGAGGAGAAGACCATGAATCCAGGAACCATGGCACAAAAGTGTAGAGAGGTTAGCAGCAGTTGAGTGGCACCACAGAGTGAAGTTCAAGAATTTAGACAGGTGGATGACCTCAGGCCTCATGTAAAGAGAGAATTTCATGCAGTCAACGGTGACGCCCTTGAAAGCTCTTAAGAGGGGACAGGACTGGCTAGATGTGCACTTTAGAAAGGCCACGTTGGCTGTATGGGGAGAAGGGATTGGAGCAGGTCCGAGACTGGGGCTGTGAGTACAGTGAGGAGGTGCTGATGTAATAGAGGGGAAAGGAAACTGACTAGGGCAGGGGTTTGCATGCACGTGCACACACACACACACCCGCACACACGTACACACCTGCACACACACCAAGAAATAGCATTGGCAGTACAAGGAGAAGGACTTGGTGATTAGGCGTAGGTGTTGAGGGAGGAGTTTGAGATGATTCTCAGGCTGTTTCTGGGGATGGGTAGAGATTAGAAGAGGTGGGCTCCGGTGGAGGAAATGGTCTGCATTGGACCCCTTGGCTAAGAGGTTCTAGAAGCTCCAGCGGGTTCTTGAGTACCTGATTGTGGCTCGCTCAGAGAGGTCAGGCTAGAAGCATTAATATCAGGGGTGACAGGATGGAAAGGGTATTTTTGCATGTGGGTGGGAACTGGATGGTAAGAGGTGTACCTGCATGATTGCCAGCGTTGGCCGTTTATCTGTGATATACCATGGTAGTTTGTAGTTCCAAACACATAAGAAACACTTGCTAAAGTCTCTAGCACTAATTAAGAGAATACTAACGTGTAACTGCACATCCGGGATTTCATTAGTACATCAGATAGACATATGTTGTGCACTCATTTACCAGCATGTTCATCTGCTTCTATTGGATTATGGATTATGATATATTCATTCATAATTAGTTATTATTTATGAATACCATAATGAGGATTGATTTGTATTTGGCCAGTTTTTAAAAGGTGGAACTGAGAGGATTTTTCAAATTATAAATTAGTATATGCTTATTATAGAATATCAAGACAACAACCCAACAATCAGACAAGTTGAAGGAAGGAAGGAACCCACTGTCCTACCACCCACAGACAACCATAATTTCTATCTATGAGTTTTGAGTGGACTTTTGAAAATGTGACTTTAATCAGTCATCTGCACATTTTTATATGATTTTTTTTACTTTGTATTTTTAGAATATATTTTAGTATTTTGTCATGTTTACACTCATAAGATGGTTTTTAATGACTGTAGGATGCTACCATTACCCGAAACTTCTATTCCCCAGTCACCTTTTAATTCCTCTTGTTTTGAACTCCTGACCTCAAGTGATCCTCCCACCTCAGCCTCCCAAAGCACTGGGATTGCAGGCATGAGCCACCACACCCAGATTCTTAATTCTTATTATCTAATGGCGACTTGGTATATAGTAGATGCTTGGTAAGTGCAGAGTGAATTGAATGAATGAGGTTGGAGAGACCCCTTCATCCCACCCCTGTTAAAAAGGCGGAGCCTTTAAACTGGTGGTAGAGTTGATTGTAATGTCATCTAGAGCCATCTGTGCCAAATGCAATGCTCAGTGCTTCATATGTATTTTTCTGATGTGACGGTCTTTATGGCAAGTGCTGTGACGTGCATGGCTTGGAGAACATGGCAGGGGCCTCTCCACTCTGGCTACTCACCCACTTGACAAGTGGCTTTCCTCTACACTAGAGTTCCTGAGCTGCCAGAGGTCATATCACCAGGCTGACAGCCCAGCACTAGATGTCAGGGTGTAGTTAATGAGACAGAAGCATCTATTTCAGACCCGAGGCCATTAATCCACTAGAAAGTTTTCCTCCTAAAGCCATTGGCATAATATTGCAAGCTCGTACATTGTCCTGAAAGATCAGAGGATGAGGTACATGCATTACCATCTCACCTCATTGTAGTGGAGCCCTCACCACACTTAACACAGTACTGTAGAACCAGAACATTGCCCCAGAGCCGAGCAGACACGAATAAGGTTAGCTGTCTGTGAGCCTTTCTTGGAGAAATTATTCATTCAAGCTGAAATCATGACGTCAGTATGATTTTTTTTTTTTTTTTTTTTGAGATGGCGTCTCACTCTGTTGCCCAAGCTGGAGTGCAGTGGTGTGATCTCGGCTCACTGCAACCTCCACCTCCTGGGTTGTTAGAATTCTCCTGCCTCAGCCTCTGGAGTAGCTGGGGCTACAGGCGCATGCCACCACGCCTGGCTGATTTTTTGTATTCTAGTAGAGATGGGGTTTCACCATTTTGCCCAGGCTGGTCTCGAACTCCTGAGCTCAGGCAGTCCGCTTGCCTCGTCCTCCCAAAGTGCTAGGATTACAGGCGTGAGCTACTGTGTCTGGCCACGTCAGTGTGGTTTTAAGATACAGTTGTTGGCCGGGCATGGTGGCTCATGCCTGTAATCCAAGCACTTTGGGAGGCTGAGGTGGGCGGATCGCTTGGGCCCAGGGGTTTGAGACCAGCTTGGAAAACATGGCTAAACCCCGTCTCTGCAAAAAAATACAAAAATTAGCCAGGTATGGTAGAATATACCTGTAATCCCAGTTACAGACTGAGCTGGGAGGATCACCTGAGCCAGGGGAGGTTGAGGTTCGAGGTTGCAGAGAGCTATGATCACACCACTGCACTCCAGCCTAGGCAACTGAGTAAGACCCTTTCTCAAAAAAAGAAAAGAAAAAGACTGAAGACTTAGACATAAGGGGAGGCTCTTGTTCTATTGTCCCTCTGTGCCCCGTCTCCCCAACCCCATTCCATGAGTAAATGCTATGGCCTGCTTCCCACTTCAGCCACAGCTGAGCCAGCCCGCCTCGGACTCCGAGGATCACTAGAGCATCTCTGTAGGTTTGAGTAAAATGAAGGGTTGTGTTTCCTCCTGTGCTTGAGCCTTGAAGACATGTCTTGCTGTGGTTGTCCTTGGTGCCTCCTGAGTTGTGATACAGTGGTCCTGCAGGGAGGTTGTGCTCTTTTGGGAACTAAATTTGTGGTAGATTTGAAAATTAAACCAGGTAAAAAGAAAAGAAGGGAGAACGAATAGGCCACTCCTCTGTTGCATGCCTGTGCTCTTATTTCATTCTTGTAACAATTCCCATTTTACAAATCAGGCATCAGAGACCCAGAGATGTTCAGTGACTTGCCTGTGGTCACACAGATAGATCATGATGAGTTGGGATCCAGGCCTTCTTGTGTCTGAGTTGTTTCCACCACCCTCCACAGTCTCCTAGAGCTGGGGCCTGGCTGCAGAGATGGGAGCTGAGTGAAGTGTCAGGTTTTACCAGCAGACTCTTGGAAGGCATGGTACCTCTGTCTGGGTATACCAGACATCATTTGGGCCTGTTTAAGTCCAGCAGTGGTGGGGAGAGTGGATTTCCTCATCATGCCCTGGAGGAGGGGGCCACCTGTATCCTGGGGCCCTGTGTCCTGTTGGGGGACTTGGCAAGGGCAGCACAGATTGCAGCACAATTTGGGCTTCTTGCTGGGATCACTCGTGTGGCTGCTCCTCCCTCCTTTCTGCACAGCTGTCTCCCTCCCAGGTTCTGCCTGACTTTCCGCAGTTGCTCCTGCAGCCCTCCAGCTCCTCCTCCCCGCCTCCCTCCCTCTCTCCCGCTCCCTCCCTCCTTCCCTCTCTGCTTCCCCCTGGATGCTGCATGTGTCGAATTCTTGATCTATCCTCTCCAGCACTGCAGACCCTGAAGTGCTGCTCTGACCTCCCCTTAACGAGAGCCTTGTTACATGGATGTTTCTGGGCAGATCCTCGTTCCCTGCAAATTTTGCCTTTTATTGCAAATTCAGGGTTCTACCACTTTGTGGGGAAAATGTAATTGGGGCCTCCCTGGGTGGAACAACGGTGGAGAAAAAGACAGTAATAACTAAGATGATGCTGTATTACCCGATAGGGAGGACATTAGCATGCTTCTTGGGGATTTTGAGTGTACATATGACTACCCAAGTGAGAGTTAAGTCTTCCTGAAAGGAAAGAGTTATACATTAGGGGGGACCTGTGATTTATAATCATGCAAAATGCCTTTGGACCTGGTTGCAGCAATAACCGAAAGCATTCAATGTCTCCTGTTTTCCTCCCTTGTGTGAAACTTGCAGCGGAGCTTGGGGAGTGCGAGCTTCCAGAGCACACACCGGAGCTTGTGTCTGAGTTTCGGTTCATTCCAAATCAGACAGAAGCGATGGAATTTGATATCTTCCAGAGATGGAAAGAGTGCAGGTACCTTGATGCAACTGTATAGCATTCTGATAGATCTATTGTGTCATAAGTAAGTGTTGGTCAGACTCCTTTACCAGTAGAATTGCTTGTTGGTGGCTATAAAACTGCACTCCAACTCTTCTCTCCTGTGTCAGTCCTGTTTTTCCAGAGGCCCACACATTGTCATTTTTGTTTTTGTTTTTGAAAGAGCCTCACTCCATTGCCTTGGCCAGAGTGCAGTGGTACTGTCTTGGCTCACTGTATCCTCAACCTCCCCATGCTCAAGCAATCCTGCCTCAGCCTCCCAAGCAGACGGGATTATAGATGTATGCCTATAATGAGCCATGCCTGGCTCATTTTTCTATTTTTTGTAGAGATGAGGTTTCACCATATTGCCCAGGCTGGTCTCAAACTCCTGAGCTCAGGTGATTCTCCCACGTCAGCCTCCCAAAGTGTTGGGACTACAGGCAGGAGCCACCGCACCTGGCTGGCTGTCTTTTAAGAGATGTGCAACAAGAACCAAACCACACTCCTTTTCTCTCTGCAAACAGAGCCTGTTTCTGATTTGTTTATTGCAGCCAGGGGAGCCACCACTATCCTAGTGACACCCCAGGGCACCCCAGACACTCTGGCATACCTTTGTCTTTGGGACTTCAGGGCCTAAACCTTCCGAAACAAGCATTTTAGAAATACACCCTGTTGAATAGGAACATACATACACATTTCAGACCATGTGTTGTGCAATGTTACATTTCAGGAAATGTGATCACCATACCTAAATCCAGCCGTGTCATCTATCGCTTTTGGTTTTTTCCCTCCATTCCCCCTGCAGGCACCGCTTTCACACCTGGACCATCCACCTCTCTCTCACGGGTTTCCTAGTTAGCCTTTTCTCCCTCCCATCCCATCTTCCCCAAACACTGCCTCTTCCAGGTCACGGCTTTCTCTTATCCCTCAATCATTCTGAAAAACTCCTATGACTATTTTAATGGAAGGTGGCATTAGTCCATTCTCATTGCGTAACTGAAACAATTTAAATGTCTGAGGGTATGGCACACCCCACACCACTCACACACTCACACACCCACTGTCCTCCCTCCAGGAAGCCATCACTGGCAGTTTGTAGTTTTTTCCTTTTGCATTTACGTATATGTATCTACACAAAACAACATTGTTTTGTTTCCTTAAGTGATCATATTATAAGCACTGTTATGTGGTCTTTTTTTTTTTGAGATGGAATTTCGCTCTTGTTGACCGGGCTGGAGTGCAATGGCACAATCCCAGCTCCCTGCAACCTTTGCTTCCCAGGTTTAAGCGATTCTCCTGCCTCAGCCTCCCAAGTAGCTGGGATTACAGGCATGCGCCACCATGCTTGGCTATTTTATATTTTTAGTAGTGATGGGGTTTCACTGTGTTGGTCAGGCTAGTCTCGAACTCCTGACTTCAGGTGATTCACCCGCCTTGGCCTCCCAAAGTGCTGGGATTACAGGTGTGAGCCACTGTGCCCGGCCTGTTCTGTGGTCTTTCTAGTCAATTAGTATGTTCTTGGGGATCTTTCTGTATTATTAATAATTTGGTGTCCCTCATTGATTTAATTGCTGCTTAACATTCCATAGTAAGGCCATGCCCTTCAGAATCCTGTGGGCGTACGAGTCACAGTTTACAAGTATTTCCGTTGGTTTTTCTAAGGGGAAAGAGCCCTGCCCAGGCGGAACTCTCCTATCTGAATAAAGCGAAGTGGCTGGAAATGTATGGGGTAGACATGCACGTTGTCAGGGTAAGAACTGTGTGCGTTTAAGTCATTTGGTTTTGCTGTTACTGAAAACTGTATGAACATTATGCAAACAAAATAACTTGTGGTAAGGAAACTGTTTTTGCATTTTGCATTCTGCTGTGTGACGACCTGTTAGAACCCTCTACCGATTGTCACTTCGTTTGTTTGTAGGGAAGAGATGGCTGTGAATATTCTCTTGGACTGACCCCGACAGGCATATTAATCTTTGAAGGAGCTAACAAAATAGGCTTATTCTTTTGGTAATTTAGTTTTGTCTAATATTAAAAATGTCTTTTCCTATTTTGTGGTGGAATTCTATGTGATGGCTGATTATTGAGGGGTATCTGCAACACCCAGATTCATTCTCAGAGCACACAGTGCTGCTGTTGTGGGTCTGAGGCCGTTGCACTGAAACTTCTGGATAATCACACTTGAATGAATGATTTTTTTTTTTTAGTCAATCTAAGCTTTAAAAGTAGAAAGGAAACTGCTATTTGATGTGCAGATAGTTTTACTGCAGATTGTGCTTTTAAAATGCTCTCTCTCTGACTAGGCCTAAAATTACCAAAATGGATTTTAAAAAGAGCAAATTGACACTCGTGGTTGTCGAGGATGATGATCAGGTAGGCCTGGCTCCCGTTTCTTCCCCCTTGCTGTGAAAATCCTGCATCTGTGTTACAAACGCCCACTCGAGGCCCTTGTACTTCCTCTTTAAGGGACGTGAGCAAGAGCACACGTTTGTGTTCCGGTTAGACAGTGCCAGGACCTGCAAACACCTCTGGAAGTGTGCAGTTGAACACCACGCATTCTTCCGACTGCGGACGCCGGGAAACAGCAAATCCAATAGATCCGACTTTATCAGGCTGGGCTCTCGCTTCAGATTCAGGTAGGGAACCATTTCTGCAACATGGATCATGTCTTTTGACAGAGGGCACCTGTGATTTCTTTTTTGGGTGTGAATGGAGTAACAGATTTGAGTCTAGAAACTTAGGTTGTATGTCCTGTCCCTACTTAAGGTGAGTCACTGAAGCTCTTTTGACCCCCATATCCTCATTGATAAAATGGAAGTAATAACAAAATTGTTAGTAGCTGACATTTAGCCAGAGCTGAGCTGTCCAGTACGGCAGCCACTAGCCACATGTGGCAATCTAAGTTAATGAATGTAATTTTACAATGTAATTCTTCATTCTTGCTGGTCATATTTCAAGTGGTCAACAAGCCACATGTGGCTAGTGGCTGCCGTATTAGAAAGTATAGACACAGGATCACCGTGGAAAGTTCTGTTGGCCAGCACTGTGCCAGAATTCTTCACGTACCCTTAATCAGGTAGATTGATTATCCCCATTTTACGGAGAAGGAAACCAGGGCCAGAGGCATTATGCTTAAACTCACACACAGCTGGTAAGTGATAGAGCTGAGATTGAGCCCTGTGCACTCTGGCTGTTAAATGTCTAACTGCTACTGTATTGCCTTTCTCATGCCCATGTCCAGAAATTTGGGATGATTAAGAATGAGAGCAGATGTCAGTGTGTGTGCACGTAACCCAGAGTAGGAAGAGTAGATATTTGAATCTGAAAAGAACCTGAAAACATTCATAGCTTATTCTAATATATTTTTGCTTATCATCCTAAGACCATTTTTCTTGCGTTTCACAAAAGTGTATTCTTGGTGTTTGTTAAAAATGAGGACAGCAACCTCATCTGAGACCTCTGCAGTCAGAATCTATGAGTGTGTGTGTGTGTGTGTGTGTGTGTGTGTGTGTGTAAGTTGTAAGGCCTGGGAGTATGCATTGAAAATGCACTCCCAGGGTTCTTTGAGGCCCATTTACATTTGAGAATCGCATTTACGAGATCTAAAACTTCACATGGTTTCATAACCTCTGCCCACACATGGCACATCCCTGAACTCTATTTAAATGCCAAAAGATTTGCTCATTTCAAATTTATCTACTGTGCAAGGAAATGGCTATGAACTTCTGTTCAAAGAATTATTATGTTTTAAATGCTCCAAGGTGTTGGGGGCAGGGAAGAAGACCAAGCTCTTTTTGAGAAAAATCCAATCCCAGGGTCCTGTGGAGGATGCAGGGGTTATGGGAGACACTCCACAGGATGCTGGTGTCTCCTCGGGGTGGAGCGAGGCGGGAAGGACAGTCAGGGCAGTTGCCAAGGCAGGCTTTTCTCTCCTGGAAGGAAACTGCCCCAGGCTTAGTCCCTGACCATGTTCCTTTCTGTTCATCCAGAAGTGTAAGAAGGAAGGGAGTTTAGAGAAGAGGTTGCCCCTTAGAGGCATGCAGAGCAGGTGACAAATGGCTCCTTCCATCTGATAAATAAGACTCAGAGCACTGGAATGAAGCAGCCGAGGGGTAGACCAGATGAAACCAGCAACCTCCTGGAATCTGCAGCTGGGGGTCACATTGGTTGAAACCCAAAAAGCCTTAGTGAAATAAGTCATGTTTGCCTTGGCATAGCAAAGAAAGCCAAGGCCTAGTTGAGTGGGTATTGATAACAGTCTTTTAAAAAATGAGTTAAATGTCCATGCAGTGTGTTCCATGAAAGGTTATTTTATGTGAAAATCAGTGTTCTCTGAATGAGATGTTTCAAACCTGCTTCATTTGTGCAGCCAAGCGGCTGCAGGTTTTGTCCTTGGGTGGAAATATCTGCCCCTGTACTACAGCCTGGACTTAGCAAAGGAGATTTTATTTCCAAATGGAAGGCTAAACTTTGTGTGTCTTTACCCAAGTGAGTTCAAGCTAAGTTGAAATGTACATTGGACCTCTTGGAAATAAAAGTGCACTTTCAAATACATGTAATGTACTGAGATTCTGATATTGATAACACACAAGAAAATATTTACTTCCCAGTGGGCGGACAGAATATCAAGCTACACATGGCTCCAGGTTACGAAGAACCAGCACATTTGAGAGGAAGCCTAGTAAACGTTATCCATCCCGGAGGCATTCAACGTTCAAAGGTTGTGTGTTTTTCATTCTGCCTTGCAATTTTACATTATGCATTAGTCATTTAAGCCCTCAAGGAGCCTGGTCTAGCAGCTTCTAAAGAAAGTCCCTACAGTTCTCCATTCTCGAGCTTTTGGGAAAAAATCCCAGTGGTGTTCTTTTAATGGGCGCTGGCCACTTCCGCCATCTCTCTGTCATTAATGTTCCCCCTGGATGTGCTCATTTGTTTCCCCACTTTCTCCATATTTCTTTCCATATACCTCTTTGCTTCTTTTAGACCTGGGTTCAAGCCCTGGGACCTCAGGAATATCATAGGGAAACACCTTTCCGGCCCATAGAAGGTACTGTATCTCCACCATCTTGCAATTTTAAGCACGTATTTCAGCCCCATGCTAACTGGAGTTCTGATCACGTACAAGTGGAGGAAGAACTTTTAGATACCTGACTCAGGTCCCACAGCCAGTCCAGAGTTTCCTCACCCTTTAATTTAGCCAGGCCTTGGAATGCCTGCCCCCTTCCCCTTTCCAAACTCCCTGGACCTTGTCTGTCGGTTACAGCTGGGGCCTCACACCTGTCTGAGGCCTGGAACACACACGATACAACTCAGTCAGTGAATGACCACGCTGGGCTCACTTCTGTTGGGTCCCCGCTCCAGATCCCACCTTGGAGCTCTTCTTTCTCTGCACTAGATGGCTCCCCAACTCAGGGTGCCCAGTTAGCCCTCAGCGTTTGCTCTTTTATAGTAGAGCCTCTGCGCTCCCAGCCTCCTGCCCCTGCTGTATATATTTCCTTGTGGCCACTCCATGTGTTTTTCTTGGCTCAGGACTTGGTGAGCCTCCATGGGACCTTCTACCTTTACTTGTTTCCTTCTAGAATCTGTATCTTTATGTTCCTTTATGAACCAATGGCGCAGTAGCATGACTACCTGAAATTCTTAGTCACTCCCAGCTGCTTTCATGGAGGAAAATGCCCACAGCACAGGAAATAGTCCTGCCCTTCCAGAGAGGCTGGGGGACAGGAGCGTATCCAGAGAAGGGTGATGGGTCGATGAAAGGTGGCCACAGTGCCCAGGAGAAAGGGCCAGAACGCTCTCTGTTCCGTCAGGAGGATTATGCTGGTGTGTGTAGTCCCCTGGGTCAGAGTTGTCCAGAAATAGCCCAGACTAAGGAAGAATTCCAAAGATCAAAAGAGCTGTCTCAAGATAGCAGTACGCTGGGCCCTTCAGGTGTGTGCAGCGTAAAGGGAAGGACCCCTGGGGGAACCGTCACAGAGGGGAGTGGACGTCCTGCCGCCTGACCCCACCAGATGGCTTTAGAGATCTGGACTCCAGGGTCTGTGATTCTCTTCCCAGTCCCTGTTTTCTTTTCTCTCCTTTATTTCACTGACTTTTTTCCAGCCAGGGTTCTAGCATCTTCTTTGTGAAGCTTTTAATGATTTTCCCTGCCATATATATCCTTTTAAAAATAAAATGGAGCATAGACAGATGAGCTCTGCCTCATCCCCGGGGCTCTGTCCACACAGACCCTCCCGGCTGCCCCAAGGTCCCTCAGTCCAGACCCATGCTTATCACTATGTGCTGTTTTTCCTTTCACTCGCTTCTCTCTATCTGCCTTTCTCTGTCTCTAGACCGGGAACTCCTTGAGAGCAGAGACTGTGTCTCTTTGCCCCTGCCTCCCAGAGCACCCAACCCTGGGAACCTGCTTGGTGGATGGTTGCTGAGTGAATCAGAGGGAGGAATAGTTTACTCTCCCTTGGGAAAGGAGAAGTAGCCACCGAGCAGTTCTGCCTGGGTTGGGGTTGGAACGGCTCTGTGATGGCAGAAGTCTGTCATGGTCATCATCTGTCACTGAAAGTGACAGCTCTAAAGTTCTCTAAGATGTCATAGCTTTCTTGTTTTTCCTTTACAGCAAGCAACCCGGTGATAGCAGCCCAGCTCTGGTGAGTGTCCCTGAGCTCTAGAGCACAGCTCTCCTCTCTCAGGATTGTATTTACTTGCAGTGTTGACTTTTTCCTTACTACAGTCAGATCAGAAAGTGTGTCACCTGGTATTTTTTTTTCCACCTTTTTCTGCTATCTGGCTGTTCCATTCTCATGGCTTTCCATAAGTACACAGTAGAATGTTCCAGGGCGGTTTGTTTTTTTGGAAGACACAGCTGCTTTGTTTGAGTAGCTGTGTGCTTTGTTTACGATAACAGGGGGTGAGGAAGGTAGAGGCATGTGCACAGCACGCTGTGTCAATGGCGAGGCAGGCAGTGCTGGGAGAGGAAGGTGGCCCTCGGGAGCAAAAGGACAAGAGCAGATGCTAGATTTGCTCAGTGACGTGCACGTTTTACATCGTAGAAGAGGTTAAACACCTTTACTGAAATCCCTGCAGGAAAAGGAACTCATCACAAGAGTGAAAATTGGCTGCACGGGATTCAGCAGACGTTTTCTGTAAAGGGCCAGCTAGTCCATATTTGAGACTTTGCAGGCTCTGCTGTCTCTTTCACAGCTACTCAGCTCTGCTGTTGTAGCTAGAGAGCCGCTGTGGATGATATGTGAATGCGTGAATGTGGCTGCATTCCAATAAAACTTTACTCATAAATATCAGCGGGCCAGATTTGGCCCAAGGGGTGTGGTTTCTACAGGCCTCTTCCCTGGCACAGGTGTCCAGGGTCTTGCCTGTATGGTAGAATAATCTGATGAGCCATAATTATCTGAAACATCCACCCCAGCCACACCCAGGTTCATTGAAGCAGTCTCTCCGGGTGGGACCCGATAGCTTGTTTTTAAAGCTGCCCTGGTGAGTCTGCCTGGCATATACCTCTCTTGCTCCCTCTGAAGCAACTGCCTGTCTTATGTGAGTTTTGGCTTGTTAAGTAGACAAGCTGTCGTGTGAAGGAACCACAAACTTGTGTTGTTTGGACCTTTGCTCTGACCTCCAGACGCAGGTAGGTAGCTCAGCCTGGTTAGCCTCTCAGTCATCCCAGGCACAGGTCTCAAGGCAGCTGAGAGGGTGGCCTTTGAGATGGGCACAGCTTGACTGTGTCATGCACTGTCAGTCAAGACAGCTGGCAGAACATGGCACAAGGTGAAGAGGGTTTCAGACACCCCGGTTAGTGAGGAGAGCCCTGGCTGAAGCATCAGGAGCCCTCCCTCCAGGTACCAGCTGTGTTCTAACCCAGCTCTGGAGACTTAGGCCTTCTCATCTCTGAGCCTCCGTTTTCTTTTTTTTTTTTTTTTTTTTTGCAAATGATGGGGTTGGGCTATATCAGTTTTTTGCCAAACTGTCTTACCCTCTGATCTTCACCCTCTAGAAGAAACCTGATGTCAGAGGGCCAGCAAGGTGGCTCACATCTGTAACCCAAGCATTTTGGAGGCCAAGGCGGGCGGATCACCTGAGGTCGGGAGTTCAAGACCAGCCTGACCAACATGGTGAAACCCTGTCTTTAAAAAAAAAGAAAAGAAACCTGATGTCAAAGCCCAACATACAGAACAGACAAATGTGGAGGTCCTCTGGATGAAGCCGGGGGTGGGGGGGTGGGGGGGTGCTGGGACCAGTTCCTGCCTGCTCATCTGCCTTCCCTGCTACTCCCCCTACCCTGTAGCTCCAGGGCACCTACAAAGAACCCAGGGTTCTAGAGAACGCAGCCGGTCCCTCATATCACACAGCTGGAAACTCAACCTCGCAGCTCTGATTCCAAACTCGACTTTTGGTGTCGTTCTTCCTTTTGTCTCTGGGTTTTGTTCTCAGCATCTGATGAAGGGGCCGAGGGGTCCTACTGAACCCTGCCCTGGAGGGTGGGAGGAGTTTGCAGTATTCTCAATGGGTTAGTTGTAGGTCTCTAGATTCACCCCATTTCTGGGATCCCTCTGGAAGATGGTATGCCAGATGGCATCTGCACCTTTCTTAGCCTGTCGGGGTGTCTTGCTTTTAATTCTCTGAGGCTTGTAAGTTCCAGCCCCAATTTCTTTCCTTTGCACTCTCAGGTGGTGATTGTTTAGCTTGTCTGTTTCTCCCTAATAAAATTACATTTTCCTCTTAGCATCTAGTGGAGATTATATATTGAGAACCAAAGCAAACAAACAAACAAAAAATTCTGCCAAAAAAAAAAAGCCCTGGTAAATATACCCTTTAGGAACAAATGAACTAATAACTGCTGTTCGCAGCTGTTTGATTGCTTTTCACAGCCTGTGGGATCCCAGGGTGAGTAGGATTGCTATGGGAGCCGTGGATGAAACTGTGCTCTGGGCTCCAGAGGTACTACTAGAAAAATAGCACCTCGTAGAACACTTAACTTACCTGATAAAATCCAGCCGGAAGTGAGCTGACCCAAAGCCTAGCTCTGTGTACTGGTCCTCCCTGGAAACTGGAACACAGAGCCATTTAGACCCCAAGCAAGACTCGTAACAGTGATCTGTTTGCCTCTCAGTGTTGGAGAAGCAATAACACTTGATTTCAAGCACACCCTCTGGCAATAATGATTGCCTGCTCTGTCCATATATACATATATATTTTTTCTTTTTTTTAAGATCCCATCAGCCAAGCACAGTAGCTCATGCCTATAATCCCAGCACTTTGGAAGGCTGAGGCTGGAGGATTTCTTGAGCCCAGGAGTTCAGGACCAGCCTGAGCAACATAGTGAGACCCCATCTCTTAAAGAATCGAAATAAGATCATGTCGCTGGGCGCAGTGGCTAATGCCTATAATCCCAGCACTTAGGGAGGCCGAGGTGGGTGGATCACGAGGTCAGGGGTTCAAGACCAGCCTGGCCAACATGGTGAAACCCCATCTCTACTAAAAATACAAAAAATTAGCCGGGCATGGTGGCGCCCACCTATAATCCCAGCTACTCTGGAGGCTGAGGCAGGAGAATGGCTTGAACCCAGGAGGCGGAAGTTGTGGTGAGCAGAGATCATGCCGTTGCACTCCAGCCTGGGCAACAGAGGAAGACTCCGTCTCAAAAAAATTAAAAAATAGAAGAAATAGAATCATGCCTGAGGAGTCCTGAGCCTTTTCTCAGTCCCTCCAAGAGTCAAGTTGGTTTAGCAGAAAGAAGACAGGCTTTAGGATTCTGCACATGTCAATTCTAGCCCTGACATGTCAATTCTAGCCAGGTGACCCTGAGCAGGTTTCCCAATTCTGTTAGGCAACTGTTCCTTTATCTGTAAAACGAGGTGGTCACTTTTGTTGACCTCGTAGCCTTGTCATGTGGATTAAATAATAACAGATGTAAAGTTCCCAGTACAGAGTCTTGTCTGGAGAGAGCATTTCAAAGTGGTGGCCAGGTGATTGGTGGTGTTTTTCATAGCAGGGAACCCACGTGTGGCTCCCACCACAGTCTCCAGTGGGAGCTGCTCAGGAGGGACTGGTGCCTCCCGCTGTGGTGGGAAGAAGCTCGCCCATGACTGGAGGAGCTTCTGGTGCGGGTGCTATGGGGTCTCCCAGCAATGCCAGGGCAGGCCTGAAATGGGAGTAAAATTACTTGGTTTGCCCAACGGAGATAGGATCTCCTTCTTGCCACCAAAATATGACATCGAGGCTGCATTCTGGAATATTTCCTGCTGTTTCTGTTTGTGAGCGCTAAAGGGATGAGTGAAAGTTGCTGTCTGTGGTTTTCCTTGTTATATGTTCATTTAAACAACAATAACTGGGCTGGGCGTGGTGGCTCAAGCCTGTAATCCCAGCACTTTGGGAGGCCGAGGCTGGTGGATCACGAGGTCAAGAGATCGAGACCATCCTGGTCAACATGGTGAAACCCCGTCTCTACTAAAAATACAAAAAAAAATTAGCTGGGCATGGTGGCGCGTGCCTGTACTCCCAGCTACTCAGGAGGCTGAGGCAGGAGAATTGCCTGAACCCAGGAGGCAGAGGTTGCAGTGAGCCAAGATTGCGCCATTGCACTCCAGTCTGGGTAACAAGAGCGAAACTCCGTCTCAAAAAATAAATAATAAATAAATAAACAACAATAACCAAAAAGTAGTAGTTATGTGGGAGCTCCTAGCAGGGTATGTAGCTCATGGGAATAGTTCATGATTGTTAAATAAATCCATAATAATGCCACTTTATAACCTATTTTTCTTTTTCTTTTTTTAGCTCTAAAACAAATCCAGAAGTCCATAATTACCAGGTACGATATTGCTTTTAAAGGTTTTCTTTAAAGAAAGAAAATTTTTAAAGTAAAATAAAAACAACAAAAACAGGTTTTCTTAAAGTTTCTAAATTTTCCACAATGAGCAGTAATCATATTGATAAACAGATTTTGAGGAAGTAATAACAATATTTGTGTTTTGAGAAAATGGTAAGAGGAGAGCCCTTTCCTTCTGAGCCCTGCCACTTCTTGGCCATCTGAACTGCCTGTTTTTCTTAACCTTGTCAACTGGCAAGTGTCAGGGACATATGTTTAGGTTTCTGGGTGGTCACACACAGCCCCTTATTGGCATTCAAGTGAGGCAGCTTTTTGTCAAAGTGTGCTCTAGGCCTAGGGAACATGAATCCCTTGAGATGGGCTTCCAGGAAAGGTTGTTTTGGTCGAGGATAGCTGGGAAATGTCACATCTTTCATTCCCCTTCTTGGATTTTCCAGTGCCCATTGAGGTGTGAAAGTACTGAGAAATCCTACAAGAAAGACATGTTTTATTTTTTTTTAATCCATTGTTCCCTCAAATTATTTGTGTATTGGTCCCCTCTCACACCCCTGATTTAAAAAACTAGTCTTGAGCTGGCACAGTGGTGTACATCTGTAGTGCCAGGTATTTGGGGAGGCTAAGGTGGGAGGATCACTTGAGCCCAGGAATTCAAGACTGCAGTGAGCTATGATCCTAGACCATTGCGCTTCAGCCCAGATGACACAATGAGAACTCATCTCTTTAAAAAACACAAACACACACTAGCCTCACCCTCTACATCTTTTTTGAAAAGAACACTAGCCTCAGCCCCTCCCATTTTTTGGTGGTGGTGAACTCATGAACACGAACAGATCAGTGGTTTCGAGAACCTGCTGTGTGAAGCACTATCCCTGTGCTAGGCCTATCCCTGCAGAAGGAGCACAGTACGTTTCCATGGCTGGTGTCTTGCTCTTTCTCAGGACTGCCAGCCAGGACCCGTGCCACCTGCCAACCCACTCATGCCTGGTAGCATGAAAGGTGTGGTTTACAGCTCGGCCTGGAGCAAGTACATTCTTCCTAAGCCACCATGGGTGGCTCTCTCTGGCCATTCACAGCCTCATGCCACCTGGTTCCAACTTCTCTGTTTATTTCTCACCACTCCCATCATACTCCATATGTTCAGCTCACAGGAAATTGCATAATTGTTGCCCCATAATTTCTTCCCACTGTTCTTTCCCCATGTTTGTCTGCCTGGATTTTCTTTGCTTCCTATCAGTATATTAAAGTATCTTTCAAAGACCAACTCAGGGTTGGGCGCAGTGGCTCATTCCTGTAATCCTAGCATTTTGGGATCACAGCCAAGGCAAGAGGATCACTTGAGCCCAGGAATTTAAGACTAGCCTGGACGACATAGTGAGATCCTATCTCTATTTTTTAAAATTTTGTTTTATTAAAAAAATTGTGTTGTTGTTTAAAGACCAACTCAGAAGTCACCTCCTCTACGATGCCTTCTCTGATCTGTTCAGTTGGAAGCCCCCAGCACCCAGTGGTTCTCCATCCTGCTGCATATTAAAGCCATCTGGCCAGCTTTAAAAAAATAACTAGTGCTTGGTCCATATCCCTGAGAGATTGATTGACTGATTGAGACAAAGTCTTGCTCTGCTGCCCAGGCTAGAGTGCAGTGGCACAGTCTCAGCTCACTGCAGCCTCCGCCTTTCAGGTTCAAGCGATTCTCTTGCCTCAGCCTCTCAAGTAGCTGAGATTACAGGTGCCCACCATCACACCCAGCTAATTTTTTGTAGAGACAGGGTTTCACCATGTTGGCCAGGCTGGTCCTGAACTCCTGACCTCAAGTGATCCGCCCACCTCAGCCTTGCACCCCTGAGAGGTTGAGTCAGAAACTCCAGGGGTGGGATCTGGGCACCTATAGACTTCAGATTTCTAGGTGAAGATCTCCAGCTTCAGATCTCCTAAGGTGGTTCTGATGAGCAGCTGGGCAGGGACTCTGCTGTGGACCTCGCTTCCTAGGTGGTCATTTGTTTGTGTTTAGAGGCGGCATCTTTGTCTGCTGACCTGTAACTCGGGGCCAACTCTCTTGGCCTGAACTGGTGTGGGTATTCGAGGGACACTGCCCTCCCAGGTTTCTCTGCTCCATCCCCAGTCTGAAGTAATGACGCTATTCCATAAACAGGTTCACTTGAGAGCCTTATTCTCATCATCCCCTTTCTTGGTCTTTGGTTACTTATAGTAACCACATTAATTCCTTACGTGAGGGTGAGATCTGAAATCCCAATGTATATTATCTTTGTGAGGTTTCCGAGTTATATAACGGAAGAACTTTGTGATAATTGACTTTCATGTATGAAATCATATTCCCAGTGTGCAGAATCTGGAAATTACTTCCAAGTTTTAGGAAATGACAAGTAAAAAGTATTGGAACTTGGTTGGGGAAAAGTCTGGCTTCCCCCTCTCCTTGCCTTCATTGGGTTCTTGAATCTACTTTTTTGTTTGGTTATTTTTTTGTTTTTGAGACGGAGACTGTCTGTCACCCAGGCTGGAGTGCAGTGGTGTGATCTCGGCTCACTGCAACCTCTGCCTCCCGGGTTCAAATGATTCTCTGGCCTCAGCTTCCTAAGTAGCTGGGGTTACAGGCATGTGTGTGCCATTACACTCGGCTAATTTTTGCATTTTTAGTAGAGATGGAGTTTCACCATGTTGGTGAGGCTGGTCTCAAACTCCCAACCTCAAGTGATCTGCCCACCTCGGCCTCCAAAAGTGCTGGGTTTACAGGCATGAACCACCGTGCCTGGCCCAGGGTTCTTGAATCTTCTTATTCACTGTTTTTTTGTAAAGAGGTTTTCAGGTGTGAGTAACTGAAATTGTAGGGGACAAGTAGTTGATAGGTGATCAGTGTTTGAAGGAGAGACAAAAATGTTAGAAAAGCAAAGCAGCTCAGCGCTGCAGTGCCCTCTCCTCATTGCCCTGGGGTGTGTTCTCACTGTGCATTTTCTTCTTAGAGTGAACATCGAGGCGATTGTTTGTTGAAATCAGATCTCTTGAAACTCATCTAGGCATTGTTATCGCAACATCATTGGCAACCCCAGGTCCTTTGGACCTTGCCAGTCTTAGAGGTCTTGTGTTGTTCTATCAAGGGTTGGGAGTAAATTGACCGGGAAGAGAACATCCTGAGAAGTGGCCTGATCGGCATTTGAATACTGTGAAGGGTATTCAGGAGGATAGTGTTCCAGCATTTATCTTATTTCGAGCACCACAAGGTCAGCCAACTGCAGAGGATGGATCACTGTGTTCTCAACAAGGACTCTGTTGGCATCTGGGGAGGGAGAGTTCTTCATTGTTTAGGACTGTCCCTGGAATTGCAGGATGATTAGCTTCCCTTTTCTCTGTCCCTGTGAGAAGCAGACATGCACACATTCATTTCCTGTTGTCCTCCAAGGTACATGAGAGTACCAGTTGAGAACCAGCTGGGTTAACACTAAAATACTCCTTGACAGTTGAGAATGTGAATGATTGCCAGAGGAGATCAAGGAAATTTCCAGAATCTTTTTCCAGATCTGTGGATCAGGTTCCCACCTCTCTCTGATGAATCTGATTTGGTTGTGTTTAAAGCCAGAGAAAAGCATAGAGGGTCCAGTTCTAGGTCAGCCTTTCTCTATTGTTGAACAGCCAGTGAATGGGACCTCATTCTGGGCCTATGTGATCAAAACACCTGGAACAGTTCAGCTCTGAGCGAATCATCTAAACTCTGTGGGTTTCTGTATCCCCCTGAAGGAGAAATATGCAAAGATTGCATCAGGGAGGTGCTAAAGCCCTGGTCAGCTCCCATATCCTGCTACTGAGATATTTTCTCCAGAGTCCTTTTCCTGCAGCATGTCTTTCCGGGGGCTGCAGAGTCTGCTTGCTGACAGGCATCTTTGAAGGAGAAAGGAAAGGCTGCTGGAATATAGAACAGGCAGGGAGGGCATCTCAGGTCCATGAAAATGGAATGAACAGAACTGCTGAGAATTCTCTGTGCCAGAGAGCAGGCCACTGCTTATTAACCAAAGTAGCCTGAGAAGGAGGAGAAGAAATAATTAAAAGAGTAATGGTAGCATGATTGTAGTGACTTAAATGTCAAGAGGGCCTTAATTTGCCCCCTTAGGAAGTTGAGCCTTGAGAGCCCCTGACTTCTGCTGATGCCTAGGACCACTGCCCTCTACAGGCCAGAAGTGGAAAGGCAGCCTGCTACCTAGCCCGCTGGGGCTGCACCGGGGTCCGTTTCTAGTGAGTCAGGGTCTGTGTTCTCTTTTTAGAATGGCCAACTTCCTTCAGAATTAGCAGGGCATGGTGGCATGTGCCTGTCATCCCTGCTTCCCGGGAGGCTGAGGCAAGAGAATCACTTGAACCTGTGAGATATAGGTTGCCAAGATCCTGCACTGCACTCCAGCCTGGGCGACAGAGTGAGACTCTGTCAAAAAAAAAAAAAAAAAAAAAGCAACTTTCAACCTCCTTCCTTCCTTTCTTTCTCCTTCTTCCTTCTTTCCCTTCCTTTCTCTTTCTTCTTTCCGTCCCTACCTGCCTGCCTTCCCTCCCTCCCCCATCCCTTCTCCTCTCTCCCTTTCTCCCTCCCGCATCAGGATTATAAGCACTCTGGATGGTTTTGTTTGTTTGGGTATTTTGTTTTGGATTGCATTTTAGAAGATTATTTTTATTGCTTAAACCAGGGAGGAAGAAAAAAACTTCACCCACGGCCCTGCTGCTTCACTTCACATCCCTGTCCAGCCCTTGTCTGTGTGCAGATGTAACTGTTCCACATGGTCATTGTCATTTTCGGCAGTGACAAAAATTGTTTCTGAAGAGAGAAATTGCCTCCCACTCTCCCCATCTCTCTGACACCTTCCGCCTCTTCCCCTGGGGAGATGAATACAGCTTGTCGCTGGTACTCCGGACGACCCCCTTCAAGGCAGGTGCTGTCACCTTCCTTCTAAGGGTGGCTTCCCAGCCCCTTCATGGGGAGCCGCCTCTGGAGAGGGCTAGAACCAGGGCTGGGTTTCAACCCCCAGCCTTTGTCAGAGGGGGAAACGTGATCATCCTGGGAAACATCCACCCACCCTCACCCCCCAGTCAGGGTCTGTGGCCTTCCCATTCATAGTCCCCCAACCCCTCAGGGGGATGCCAGTAACAGAGAAAGTGAATGAGGACCATTGAAATTAAAAGGTCATCAAATAATCAAGTTTGGTGTTTTATTTCTAGCCTCAGTATCATCCTAATATCCACCCCAGCCAGCCCCGGTGGCATCCTCACTCTCCAAATGTCAGGTAAGTGCAGGTGCTTCCAGAGCTGCACCTTTGAAAGTTCTCCTTTCTCTAGAAAAGTTAAGATTCTACTTCGGTAGGAGCAGGAAGTCTGCATCAGAACCCTTAACGGGGTGCATTGTCATGGCTGAGAAGAATACATTTTCAAAGCAAAGGTAGCCAGTAATGAGTGTGGATGCATCAAAGGTCTGCTTTGTGAAATAAAAAATGAACTGATTTTTAAAAATCATTCTGACCTCAGATATTCTTGGTTTAGTTTTGTATTCAAGATATTACTTAAAATTTCTAAGTAACGTTTTTCTGTCCTGAGAATTTGTTTACTTCAAATGTGATGAAATCTTAGGGATTTTTGTTGCTGTGGGTTTTTTTTTTTTTAAGAATTTTTTTGGCGGTGGGGGGAATGAGTTTGCTTTTTGTGTCAATAGATATTTTTTCCCTAAACCGAGGGATCAATAAACTTTTTCTGTAAAGGATCAGCCAGTATTTTCTGCTTTGCGGTCGCTGTCACAACTCCTTAACTCTGCCATTGTGCATTGGAAACAGCCCTGGACAATCTGTAAATGAGAAGCTATGGCTATGCTTCAGTGAAACTGTTTTACAAGATCAGTGGGATTGGGCCGAGGGCTGTCATTTACCAACCTTGGCCCTGACCTACCGTAGTCCTTTCTAAGCCAACTGGCATCTGCTGGACTGTGTTTATAGTTAAGCTTGAGAGGCTTTTTTTTTTTAGGCTAGTTTTGTGACAGCAAATGTTCCTTTTAAGATTTGAATTTTAGATCAGTCTTAATTGGTGTTTATTTGTGAAGCTATTTCAGAAACATTGTTGGCAAGTTCAGTTTGCATAAAGGTGAGGTTGCTAGCCTTTCTCTGAGAAAGTGTGGAGAATAAAATGATGGAAATAAACCCACTTAGAACAAGGCAAAAAAAAAAAAAAAGAAGTTTTTTGGGGAATTTTGTAACCCAGGAGTGTGATTGTTTATAAATACTTGGTAGTCATGTAACTTTTTAAAGCAAGGTAGGTTCATGGAGTAATGATTGTAAATCTTGCTGTGTTTCAAAGGTACTTTATTCTTCAGACATAAAAAACAGAAGAGAGTTATAGAAATGCGATTTTAATTAACATTGTTTTTACGAAAGTGTGTGCTTATCACTACCTGTTTTATCATGTTAGCTTCCTTCTGAGGCACCGTTTAGCAGCAGGCCTTCTGAGGAAAGCTGTAAACAGTGCCTCTCTGGGGTGTGCCTGCTATTGGCACTTGAGTGTCATCTGGAAGTTTGTTAATGCAAATGCTCAGCCCCCCTCCCCGGACCTACTGGATCAGAATCTGTGGGGTGGGGCCAGCATGTTGTGTGTTTTCAAGCTCTGCAAAGATACCCCATGAAAACAGAGTTTGTTGGTCCAACACTTTTGGCCAATGTTGCCTGAGGCATTCATGGTGCACACTGGCATGATAAAACCTCCAAGCAGTCCTGTAGTAAAGGAACATTTTCCACCTTCACTTAGCTTTCTCCAGACGGACTTGACCATGAGACACCCTTTGAGAAATGATGACTTGACCGTAGACAGAGCCTTGCTCTGCTGGGAAGTTCATAGATGAACTGCATCTGAGCTTTTATAATACTCACATAGGAAATCCATTCATTTCCATTCATAGCCATCCCCATTCACGTGGCTCACGGTTCCCCCTGCCCCATTTCCTTTGTGCTTGTGTTGTTTCACTTACATTTCTGCATTTTCTTCCATTCTCCCACTAACCATTCACTCTGCAAACGAAACAGGCCATCCTTTCAGGATGACAGGTCGCATTGGAAAGCGTCGGCCAGTGGAGATGACAGCCATTTTGATTATGTCCACGACCAGAACCAGAAGAACTTAGGAGGGACGCAGAGTATGACGTATCGAGATAAACTCATGACTGCACTTTGAGAGACTGAAGCGTCTCTCTTCCATTCACCTTCATAGTTTCACTGCATTCCTTGAAAAATGTCTTGGCCTCACATGGACAGATGTGTTTTTACGAGGGTCTTTAAGGAGTAGTCCTGAAAGGTGTTTTCAGTGTCCGTGTAAATATTTGAAGATGAAACCACGGTAGCTTGTCATAATTTACTGTTGACTGCATTCTCTTTAAAATGAAGGTAAAGTCTCAGGAATCATTTCGATGTTCTGATTTAAAATTGGAGTCAAAGTCTATGTTATCATATTACTGTGTGCCTGATACTCTTTGTTATTTAATTAACGGGACCAAATAAAACCAGAAGAGCTTGGGAAGATAGCTCAACATATATTGCTGTGGTAGGAGTTGAGACTGCTAGGGTCCAGCTTCTGCCATAGTGTGGCCTGGACAAGTCATTGCCTCTTCACTGACCTCATTCTCCCCGCCTGGAAAGAGAGGGTTGGACTAAGTGATCTCAAGGTCCTTTCCAAATCTACAGTTCTGCAATTTGTTAACATTTAAAAATTTTTTTTTAGGCTGAGGACATACATTCAAACTAATTTTATCACAAGGAAAACTGCAATACCCACTTCCTTGACAGAGAGTTACTCCTTTCAGAAGCTAAATAAAGTATATAACTTATTAGATGTTATATAAACACAGGGAGACTTTGAATTTTATATCTTAAAGCAGTTGAGCTACTTTGAATTTAAGCAATTATACTAATCTTAAATTGCACAGCATTTGTTTTGATAGAATTTGCTGCTCAAGTATGAGAATAATTTTTAATGTCTTAATGATTGGTGCTGCTAACTTGCATGATTTCAGAAGATATAATTGTGAATACACGCTGTCAGGATTGGGGGATTGGTTATTACCCTAGACTTCACTCTTAAAAAGCAACGTGCAATCGAGATCATTTATGGCTCAAATGAAAGCACATAAGGTTTTCTTGAAGTTGTGCCAAAGCATTCTGTAGAGTAGGATACGATGGGTGTTGCCCCAGTCTGTTTGTAGACCCAGAAATCAATATGTTGTCTTTTAGGTTAAAGCTTGTACCAAAATATTTATTTTCCCCATTTCAAGCCCTGAGTCAAACATTTTTTTTCTCTTAATAAATAGACCTGAAATATTTTATTAGTATTTCTGTGAAATCAATTGATTCTTGTGCCATTTTTATATATGTAATTGTAATTTTACCCATTTTAAGCGCTTTTAAAAATGTTTGACATCCTTTGAGATATTTTATTACTAAAATCTGATCTTTTTGGCTACCGCAAAAATTTATTCAGAAAGAAGGTATCAGCTGCGTACCTTGCACAGCGGAGTTGACCACTTACAAGCTTCCCTTCCCTAAGGCATTTGTTTACAGGTGTATTCCATATTAGCAGACGTTCTGATTCTCAGTGTATGTGCTGCATACAAATAAATGTGTTCTGAATCTTTTCATCTTATTGGTAGCATTTTTACAAATGTGTTTCCAAGGAATAAAGATTATTCTTGCTTTTTTTTTTGACTCCATCTTTATTTTTTTAATTGATTCTTGTTATTGTGCAGAAGGCTCCTTTGTGAATGACCTCAGTAACAGAGCAGCTGGCTTTTGTAAGTCTGAGGGTGAGCATTCAGTTAGGTGGGTGGAGCAAGATCATCCTAGAATGAGGCTGCTCATGGCAAAAGTGGCTCCTGTAGGCACAGCAGCTGATGCCTTTCTTCTTCTGGGGCTATTCTGGTGAAGGTTGTCCTATCTGTCACAGGTGCTGAGCAGAGAGAAGTGGTGGCAGTGGGATTTTCCCAGTAATAGTCCTGTAAAGGTGGGTGTTTGTCCTGTCTGGCAGGAAGACCTCCAAACCCTTATCTGTGGGCTTCTGGAAATTGTGTATGCCATCTAACACCCTCTAATAAATACCTCTCTGCTTAAGGTAACTTGAGTGGTTTCAGTTGTCTGCACCCAAGAAGCGTAACCAATTTGCATACTTAGGACATCCTGATTGTTAAAGGAAGTGTATACTTTCATTCCTTAACTTAGTGGACCTTTCTCTACTGCAGTTGACCAGTTCAGTCCTCACAGCCTCCTTTTCTGTCATTCTGTTACATGTTGGTGTTTTCTAAATGTCTTTCTTCTGCTCACTGCTCTTTTTGCCAGTCTACCCAAATCTTCTCATTTTGTCATAATTGTTAATGCTGTTGACTCTGAAACCATTCTCTCTAACCTAGACAGTCCTATGAGCTTTTGGACTGAACATTTCAACTTGGATATTCTGTATACACCTCAAATTCCACCTATCAAAAATTAAATTGATCATCTTTTATCCTCCCTTGACAAAACTTTTCTTCTGCCTGAATTCTCTTTTTTACCCACAGTAAGAATGTATACATCATCTACAACTCTTCTGCCTGTTGCCACCCATATCAAAACAGTGCCTAGGTCTGTTCAGCTCTGCCTTGGTATTCATACTTAGGCCTTCCTGTCTCTTCTTACTGACGTGAATCCCAAAGGAGCATCTTTTCTCTGGCTCAGAGGTGCCCTTTCTGCTCTCCCTGACTCCAGTTGCTCTTGACAAGCTCACACTCCTCCCAGTAGCTACAGTGATCTTTCTAAAACACCGTCATGGGCCTGTGCCATTGCAGTGCTTGCCATCACCCTGAGGATGAAGTCCAAGGGCCTCTCTATGGAATTCCCACTCTGTGTCTCCATCGTCTTGCTCTATGGTATACCCCCCATTTCTCACCCTATTTTTGAAAATCCTTCAGTGCCAAATTGCTTGTGGTTCCTGGCATGCACCACACCCTACTGTTACTCACATCTGTGCCTTTGCAAATACTGTTCTTTCTGCCTAGAATTCTGTCACTCCCATCCCTTCCCCTAACTCCTGCTCAATGTCTGCCTCTACCCAGACATCTACTCCCAGGGACTCTCCAACGGCCCCACCTCTGCAAATTGGGTTAATTTCTGTGTTCCAGTAATAACTTCCTCCCTTTCTGCCCCCATCTATAGCAACATTGCACTTAGAGCTTTGTATTAAAATGAGATCTTTCATTTATCTCATCCTGGAGCCTGTACACTGCATA